CTAAGGTTATGCATAAGTAAAGTACTAAAAGGCTGGAGAGCAGTAAGAATCATCATCATAGATAGCATAAGCTTAGTGTAGTCCCCGCACGAAATCAGAAGGCTCGTCGTGCTATGCAAGGCGCGGAATGCGAGTCCCGAGCAGGCCCATGCTCGCTCCTGCCCCTTGTTCAAGGGGCCTTCGAAACTCCTCCAACTCAACAGTTCCCAAGGCAAGTAGACTGCTGCAGACGCGTTGCTGAAGCTTTTTGGCTGACGCGCAAACAGTCAGCGGCGTCGGCAAGGACAAAGACGCAGTGGGGGCCCATGTGCACATTGGCACTGTGGAAGCTCTCGGAGTTCGAAGCGCCCCGCGGTTTCCAAGGCACCTGAAGCCTGTTTAGTAGACCATACTATAATAGAACAGAACAGATTATAAAATACCATAGAATGGTATAGCTATTATCTATAATAGTACGGTATAGGGGACTGCTTCACAGCCGAGATTTGTCAAATCCGGGCCCAAACCCATGGTTGCAGGCTCTTCTTTCGCAAGGGCCGCTAGGGCGGAAGTCGGAGGGAAAGTTCAGTGTCTGGTAGGTTTAGGGTTTTGGGTTTAAGTTTTGGGTGTAGGGTAGTGCGTCTAGGGGTTTAGGAAGCAAGGGTTCATGGTTTCGGACGGTGTGCCATCACGGGGCTTCAGCTGCAACTTGGGAAGCTTTGCTTCCCTCCTTCGTGATGCTGCTTCGGCGGAGGTTCCGCACCAGCTCCGCCTTCCACTTTCCCACCTCCTTCTTATCTGCTGCAGCGCAGCCCATCTCCTTTCGGCCTTCCAGATCCTCGATCAGTTCCTCGGCCGAAGTCTGGGGGTCTAAGGTTTAGGGACGGAGGGAGGCAGAGAGAACTCGGCTCAACCACCAAGAAAAAGCGAAAGCCCGAGCGGCTTTAAACTCTTCGTGCTGAGCTTTGACAGCTTGCCAGTCTCTTTGCATGCTGATGGCCTTCGCTTCAGCTCAGCAATTCGCAAGGGTTTGTTTAGAGTCTACCATGCCCCTGACTCTCCAGAGCCTTGATCAGGTTGAACTTGCAATTGGCACGCTGGTAGTAGAAACACTCCCCTTTCGCTCCCTGGCAGGGGCATTTGCCCTTCTTGGATTTGATCAACTTATCGTAGCCGTCAGCTGCATCACTGAAATTCTGGCTCACTTTCTCCCATGTACATTCGTTCGCATACTGTAACGCGGTGAGCTGCAAGCACGCGCTGTTGAAATGAGTCCTGCAGCGCAGGAGCTGAACCTCTTCCTCTGCTGGAGGCTCAGGAAGCCACTTGAGCGCTGCTTCGAAGTGCTTTTCTGTCGTGGCAAACTTGTCCATGGCTTTGGTTTTCTGGTATTCCTGACCATGCAGTTGCCCCAGCTCTGCGTGCGCCATAGCGAAGATCCCCTTCAGGCGTTTGAAGACCTCCGCGTCCTTGCTCAGATCCTTCTCCATTTGCTGAGCTTCCTCCTTCATCTTCAGAACGACATCGAACTTTTTGCAGATCTCTTCCAGGTTCTCGGATGTTGGATCCGCCTTGCCGGGTTCAGGCGCCAGCCAAATCGCCTTGAAAGCCGAAGCCGCACTGAAAAGGGCTCTGGCCCTCATCAGCGTTTGGAGCAGCTTTGGCTGCACTTCCTCCTTCAGGTCAAGGCTTTCCTGGAGCATCGATGCAGCAGCACCTCCCATGTTCACCTCCTCCCAAGAAGCCGCAACCGCTTCAAACTCTTCCATGGCTTCTTGCCAGTGCTGTCTCCCCCCCTGCTGCAGCCTCACAGATGCATAAGAGTGCCGACATGCGACACTCTTCACGTTCTTCTCGCCGAGCAGCTTCTTAAAGCCGTCAGCCGCAAACAGGAAATTCTTGCTCGCCTTCTCCAGCCCTCCTTCATCTGAGCCTTCTGGCTGATCTATCAGCTTTAACCGAATCTCTCCCAAGGTCATGGCTGCCGAAAACGCCTCCTGCTGCACAGCGTTGTGCTGCTGCGTGGCATGTAAAGCCAGCTTGCTCTTAAGCAGCTCCAAGGTTTCTGAGTACAAGTCTCTCGCCTCCTCGAGGTCCCGAGCCGTGCCCCTTTTGTTCTTGAGAAATGCCAGGTTGTTGTACAAGATCAGAAACTCCAGGGGAAGGTCCTCCACGGATGGCTTTTGGTCCAGCAGGTGGTCATCCTTGAAGGGCTTCTCTGCTGGCGAGTCCTGGGATGAGTCGTCGGACTGGGAGTCTGCGCTCCCTTCTTCGATAGGAGTCTTGATAAACTTCTCGACCGTCTCTTTCGCTTCCTTCAAGATTTTTTCGGGTTCCTCACTCTCTCTGCTTTTGAGATCGAGCACGCGGGCCCAGTTGCTCGCAATGCGAGCATGGTGCACGGCATGATCCCAGCTGCCGGGCTCCTTTGATGCTTTATACAGTAGGCCGTAGACTTTATCCGCTCGCTTCAGCATCTCCTTCTTCGCTTCCTCGTTGACATTGGGTAGTGCTGCGAAGCGCCTCGCCACGCATGCTGCGTTGTTCCACATCGCGAAGGCAGCTCTGTGATCTGTGTAGCCGTTTGCCTCGCCCAGGTTCTCCTCAGGCAGCATCTTTTTGGCATAGTCCTCCATGATTTCGAAGGCCTCCTCGAACACTTCCCCGGATAGTTCAGACTCTTCCCACTGCGCTTTCTCAATGAGGATCTCCTGCAGAAAGCTGCGGCTCCGCAGCACATTCAGATGGTCGCTCTTGTTTGGACCCTCTCTGCCTTTCAAGGCCTCTTCGGCATGCTTCACAGCGTCTTCAAAGCGGCGCCAGTTCAGGAAGAGTCTTGCAAGCAGGTCGTGGCAGGCCAGCGTCTCCATATGGACGGCACCAAACTTCTCGGTGCGGTTTTTCTCCACCCCCTTCAAGAGTTTCTCCGCTTCCTCCAGGTTGCCCTGATCGGAGAAGACTGCCGCACGGTAGTTCAGTCGCTGCGGGAGCAGGCACCAGAAACGACCCGAAACATCATTGCACGGCTGTCCAACTCAGACATGGCTCGTATAGGCGACATGCAGAAATACGAAAAAGCTTCTGAAGCCGCATCAATCTTGCAACCGCTCTAACAGGTGTAACCGTAACCTGCATGACGAATCGGGCCGTGTCGAGCGGCACCGGCCGTCACAGAACAAAGGTAAAAAATCCAGCGGCCTGTTTGCCCACATGTCTTGGCCACTCCTGCCACGTGTCAAACAACACATCTCATGCTCCAGCCCGCTTACACTAAGCACTCTACACCAGGGCCGAACTTTAGAGGGGCACATGCGACCAAGGCATGAGAGGCTTGAGAACTCGATGTGTGCACTGTCGCCTCCTCCTTGTCCAACTTTTGCAAGCATTCGTCGATGTTTACAGCGCTCATGAGATGATAGCTCTTCTACGCGGCCAAGCGATCCCTGAACATGGACAAAACGAGAGCAGAAAAGTCTTGTCATTGATGGTTCTGGCACATACATCATTGGCGGACTTGCTTCAGCAGCTTGGGACGCTCCTCGAAACAGACCATGAAATAAGCATTGCCTGTATGTGTGCAGTGCTCTGAACGCGACGGCTTGAACCCAAACACGGCGAGGAGGGCACTCCACAATCACACACTGAAGTCTCCAGAGGTCGTCGAGTTGTGCTACAGCCCGGCCCATTGCTTCGTAAGCCCCTGGAAGCGTCAGTGGTGCATCCTATCCTTTTCCCTCAGAAAGCGATGCAAACCTCCCACATGCAAGGCATTCAGAAAGGTGATGTTGACTGGACAGCACACGTTCTCTTCGGAACATTTCTCATGCTGTACGTTCATGAGACGCGCTGGCCTCAAATCCTACAGTCAAGGATGGCTGTGCCCCAAACTCTGCACCTTCAGTGCAGGTCGCCGGGACATCAGCGCTTAACTGCCAGCTCATCTGCTCTCGGACACGTAAAAGATGGTGAGGACGACGGCCACCACAGCCAGCCTTAAGCTTCGCAAAGGGTGAAATGTAAGACAACTTATTCACCGAGCAATTGCCTTCCGAGCCACAGGATAAGGCAGACTAGTGCCTCGGTTCAGAGGTGGGTTCTTCCACACTTCTTGGATGAGTGGGAGTAAACATGATCTGCGTTTGCATCCCGCACTCTGGATGCATCATCCTCCGGCCCCATCTACAGCTAACCCCCGCTTCCCAGTATCACCCAGAGGAGACCAACCTCCCGAAGCACATGAAACACGAAGCCTTCGTCGCAATGTCTAATGCCTCCAACAACACAAAACTACGCGAATTCCTCCGGGAAGTCAGTGCACCGGCAGCCTCAGCGCCGCACCACGCAGCAGCACGAAGGACACTTTGAAACTGAGCTCTTCTCCGTCTCCTGATGTCTTTGACCCTTTGGCTCCGGCTGAGCTGGTAGAAAGAGACGAGTGGATGCCTTCGGTTCACTCGAAATTTGGACACAGCTTGTATCACTCGGCCAATCTGAACGCAAGAAGTGTTGACAATCACGTGCCACCAGCGGCTGTGATCGCAGACGTGGTGGCTCCTCGCTTGGCCGGTCTGGTTGACGGTGGCGTGCCGCCGGCGGTTGTGATCGCGGACGCAGTGGCTCCTTTGCGGTCGTGCCGGGGGCCTGGTCCGGCGTCTCGTGAGCCCGGGTCGCGTCGCTTGGCCAGCCTGCACGCGGGGAGTGCTCATGATGACGTGCTACCGGCGGTTGCTGTCGGAGACGCGGTGGTTCCTTTGCAGTCGTGCCGCGGGCCTGGTCTGGCGTCTCGTGAGCCCAGCTCGCATCACTTGGCCAATCTGCCCGCAAGCGGTGTTCGCGGTGACCTCCCTTTGGGGTGGGGGCCCGGGCTGTGGCCGGGTTGCTTGGGGGGGCCTCGTCGATTGCCTGCCCGAAATCGGCACGGCCCGTTTCGGCCGCGGCCCGGGGGTGGGACTCCAGCGCAAGCGGCTCTGCGTGCCTTGCTGCCGGTCTTCGACGGCCTGGGAGCTTCGACTCCACCGCGGTCAAGCTGCCTTTCGCGTCCGCCGTCTCGTGGACCCGGCTCGCGTCGCTCGGCCGGTCTGCTTGGGGGGGGTCTTCCGCATGCTGCGCGCCCGGTGACCGTGGTCCTGTCGGGCTTGGCTTCTTTGCAGTCACGCTGGGGGGGGGGTCCGGCGTCTCGTGTATCCAATTCCTAACGTGTAACCAATGTGCTTGCAACAAGCCCTCCGGACAAGGTGATCTCAGCGGTCGTGCTTGCGGTGGGGTTGGCTCCTGCACGGTTGGGCTGCCGGTAGCGTCGGGCATCTCATGAGCCCGGGTCGCGTCACTGGGCCAATCTGCGCGCAGGAACTTCTCGGGATAGTGCGC